TTTTTTTTTTTTTTTTTTTTTTTTTTTTTTTTTTTTTTTTTTTTGGTACCGGGGATCAAACTCAGGACCTTGCATTTGCAAGGCAGGCAGCAGAACCACCGAGCTAAATCCCTGGCCCAAGATCCAACTTCTTTATCCTCAGTGGGTAAACAGTTGTCCTAACCCTATTAAGTGAATATACCATTCTTGCTCCAGTAACTTGACATGCTACCAAACAGGTCTGTATATGGACATTATTGTGTTCATTGCTCTTTTCAGTTTTATAGTACCAATAACACAATTTTAATTATTATGACGTAATAAAATATCTTTTTTCCAAAAAAGAAGTATATTTGCACACTTAAAACAAGTCCTATGCAAGTGGGAAGGCACTCCAGTTCCCCCGAAGCTGAAAGGGTCTCCCTGACCACAAAGGGTCTACAGGACTAGAAACCTCAATTGTCCCCATCCTCCCTCCCAACCCCCAGTCAAAAATAATTGGGATCCCTGCAAAAGGTCCCATTCTCTTCCCCAGTTAAAACCCAAATGACCAAGGATGAGACAGCTCAAGAAAGGTGACTGTGTATGCTGTATGGCTGTCAGGCAGGAAAGTGACAGATGACCACTCTCATCCCAGTGACACCCCCTGGAAAAAACTGACCCTGTAAAGATTCCAGGGATGACTCCAGTCCTCCCTTGGATCCCACTCTTGGCACAATATGAAACCTTAGAACCTAAAACAATCCCTCTGGACCTCCTGTTTCCACAACCAGCACCCCACCCCATTCCATGGCTGAAATCAGTCCCCTGAGTCCATGTGACAGGAGCTAGCCAGTGGGCCACAGTCTCATGCTCCTGCCTGGCCATCCACTGGGACCTGTAGGTGGAAAAGTGGGCAGCCACTGAGGCATCCAGCCACATGCTAAGTGCCTTTTCTCACCCACTCATAACGGGGCCTTGCAGCAGAAGTGACCCAGGTTCAACTCCTGGCACAGGCACTTGGTGAAGCCAGGATATGGGCTGTTTCCATCACAGGCCACCACATGGAATATGAACACTGCCTGCCTGGTGTCCTCATGGGACTTGAATACACCAGGGTCTGGGAGATACTGGGGCCCTGAGGGCCGAATGCCTGCTGACTGAAGAATATCTCAGCTGCCATGCGCTGCAAGAGTGTCAGCTCCAAAGGGCTGCCATCTGGGAGCTGGTAGGTGTTGCCCTTGTTGGAGCCACCGGGCAGGCTTTGGTGGAAGTGCAGCACCTCCTCCAGATTCTTCAGCACACAGCACTTGCTCATCTGTATAGTGGCCACCATGTCCATCTGGAAAAGGTGCTTGTCACACTCTTCCTTAAAGAGGCTCTTAAAGAGAAACATGGAGAGATCCTCACTGGCAAACTCCAGAGTCCTCCCACTGTCGGTCAGGGACTGGCCCAGGAGGAAGGGCTGCACTTGGGTCAGGCTGTAGCCCAAGTTGACCACCACACCAGTAAGGAGCCCTGAGGCATACAGAGACATCTCCAGCTGGTCATCCAGGAACAGGGACAGCATTTCCAGTAGCTCAAACATGATCTCCAGGGTCTTGTGGGTTACAGGCTCCTTCAGCAGGAGCTCCATGAGCATCACAGGACAGTCCTTGTGCCCCTGCTTGTGGTGCTGCAGCATGAAGGTTCAGATATGCACCATGCCTTCCCAGACAATGATGCAGCCACACTCGATGGGGTAGATGAAAGTGTCGGGGTTGCAGAGGTTAATGCCCAGGCTTACACATCTCTGGGGGTAGCTGGGGTTGGGGTTCTTCTGGCAGGAATGTAGTTCATGATGCTCAGACAGATAAACTGAGGCTGATTCCAACCTATCCTGCTGACCTTCAGAAAACCAAATCTGTGGTCTGTTGCGATGGTTTTGGCAGCCATGGCTGAGGCAGAGGCGGGAGATCTCCACACGGATCCCCAAGGGGCTTTGGCAAACTAGTGCCACCGGAAATCTGCCCCATGAAGTGCCACAAAGCTCCTCCCAGGAGAGTCCCCTGCAAAACTACTTAGGAGCTGGGAATACCGAGCTCTAGTGCACACCTCAGGGCCCCATGTGCCCTGAGCTTCTGACAATCTGGAAGCAGCACCTGCACCAACCTGCCCCAGAGCCT